AATAATGCATTAACATAAAAATAATTGCTTTAGAATGGTGGGATTAATAGCTGATTTTAACACACTTTCATACCTTATGTATGATGGTTTTAAAACATTAAATTATCAGCCTTCTCTGGTGGTGCAATGTGTTAAAGCACAGTACTGTGAAGCTTATGGCAGCTGCTTCAGTGTGAGTTCGATCCCTGGCCAGGGAGGTGACCCAAATGGCAGACCTCTCCTGACCTGCCCACTGCTCCCCTCAGCAGCGTATTTAACTCCATCTGCCTGTTCTGCTCCCCACTCTGTCTCTGGTGACTCGACTCACCATTCCTGCACCTTTGGCCCGTACCCCAGTTCTACATACATAAGTAAATAAATCTTTAAAAAATAAATTATCACTATAATTAAGAATTAATGCCAACTGAATAGGATTATCTAGGGCTCTGAGCAGCCACCTCGACCTGCCTGTGTTCTGTTTCCCCTCTGTGCACATATTCTTTCAGTCAAAGAATAACAAAGTGGGCAAGTGCTCCCTTGTGGGCAGAAGGCTACAAGTTTGAGTTGATTGTAGACTTAATAAGTTTGACTGCCTTAAGCAAAGAAGATTTAGGGATGGTGGACCACTGACTATCCCTAGACTGTTGCACTAAATATGCAAAGCATCTGTATTACAAAGCATTTGGACCAGGTGAATGACAAGGAAACTGATTTCAGATGGGAGCATCTAGAGAGGTCTCTGAGGATTGATAACAATACCAAACTCTGAATAATGATGAAGTCATTCAAGTTCAGGGAAGAGGATAGTGAGTGAAGACACAAAAGGAACATGAAAAATGGTTGTCCTAAGGTAGGAGAGAGCTGGGAAGCTTCACACTGGTCATTTATATGGTCTGATTTTTATTTTATAAGGGTCTCTTTGTTGTGTGTATAAAGGACTGGAAGAGAGAATGAGTTCAGGGTGATGAGCATAGTTGAAAGAGTGAAAAATTGAAGGATCTGGTGATGGAATCAAGAGGTAAGAGGGAAGTAAGTATCAGTGGTCGTTCCAAGATTTCTGACTTGAGAAACCGGGGCTGAGTCCCCATTTTGAGTTGTGAAGTGGTTGTTTCCTAAAGGAAATGTGAACTCACATATGCCCAAGAAACCAATGAAAAGGAATCAGAGGTGTTGGAGCTCATCGAGTGTGGTTAGAGACAGGTGTGAAGACAACCTCTTGGTGCAGGGAGGGCTTGCCTTTATTTGTTTTTAATTTTTTAAGATTTATGTATTTATACATACAAGAACTGGAGTCCGGCCAAAGGTGCTGGGCAGGGGTGAAAGAATTTGCCAGAGATGGAGTGGAGAGAAAAATAGGCAAATACACTGAAATACATTGTTGATGGGAGCAAGTGGGGGAGGCAGGTGAGGTCTGCTGCACCATGTGGGTCAGCTCCCTGGCCGGGGATCAAACTCATACCCAGTGACTGCTGATAACTTGATAGCACTGAGAGTTTAATCCCTGCACCACCATGGAGGCCTGGGCTTGCCCTTTAAATAAACAAGATGAGGCCTTCCCTGGTGGTGCAGTGGGTTAAAGTTTAGCACTAAGAAGCTAAAGTCACTTCCACATGAGTTCGATCCCCGCCTGCCCCGAAGGTGATCACATGGCTCTGCAGACTCGCCTGACCCGCCCGCTGCTCCCCTCAGCAGTATACTGCATTGTCTGCCTGTTCTGCTCCCCACTCTGTCTCTGGTGAAGCCTCTCACTGCTTCTGAGCCTCTGGCCTGTACCCCAGTTCTGTATGCACAAATAAATAAATCTTTAAAAAAAAAGTAAATAAACAAGCAAGATGGGTGGACACCACTCCAGAGGATCCTTGCTTCCACCAAGTTCAAACATATAATAGAACTTCAGATTGTCCTTCCCTCCCGACAGGAATATGCGTGTGTGTTCTGAAGGATAGAAGCTCTATTGAAGCTCCTAATGCAGTGGGTAATAGATTCAGGAAGAGTGGAGTTATAGATTTTTGACCTTTCCCTTCTTATTTTTGACCTTTACCTTCTTTAGCCCATTTCAATATAATCAATAGTGGTGTACTTCAAAAAGTCAAAATCTTTTACCTGTATTTGAGTGTTGTTTAAGTATTTTCTTACGCTTTTTCAATTTTCTTCCTTATCTTTTTTTCCCCTTTCTTTTACCAAATTCTCATAATGGGTAATCCAAGGAAACCCTTGGTAAATATTAAGCATTATACTTTATGACTACTGAATAAAATGCAAATAGTATGTAGAAAAGAAGTTTGGAAAGAGATCAGCGATTGCCAGACACTGGAGGAGGGATTGATTACAAAGAGGCAAGAGGAAATTTAGGGGCGGGGATTGATAGAACCAAGCTCTATCTCCATTATAGGGTTGTCTACTGATGGGCATGTGTCCAAATTCACAGTACTGTAAACCCTAAAAGGTGAGCTCTAAACTAAGTAAAATCACTCAATAACAAAGGTGTAGGGATGTTCCAATTTGAAAATAAGTTAAATTAATTACACCGAGTTTCATAGGAGTGTGGGTGTGTTGGAACTGTGGGTACAGTTCTCTTTTTTCTGAGGCAGCATACTGTATTGGTTAAAAACATGGCCTTTAAGGGCCCTCCCTGGTGGAGCAGCAGGTTAAAGCACAGCACTAAGAAGCTAAAGCCACTTCTGCATGAGTTCAATCCCTACCCCAGAGGCTATCCACATGGTGCTGCAGACCTCTCTTGTCTCGCTCGCTGCTCCCTCAGCAGTGTACTTCATCACTCAGTCTGTTCTGCTCCCCACTGTCCCTGGTGAATCCTCTCACTTCCCCTGTACCTCTGGCCTATACCCCAGTTCTGTATGCATAAATAAATAAATCTTAAAAAAAAAACAAAACATTGCCTTTATAACCAGAGGACCTGCCTTATTCTCTAAGTTACAGAACTCTGTTGCTTCTGTTTCCTAGTATGTCAGCTGAGATAGCAGCATATAGCTATTATTATAATTAAGCAACATTGACAAAGGCAAACCAGAGGAACAAACACTGAAAACTTAAGGCTGTGTAATGGGAGAAAGTCTCTGATCATTCTTCACTTTGTTGGGAAGTTGAGGTCATCCTCATCTCTGCTGAAAAATCATCTTCCTCACAACACCCCCCCCACACTGAACTTTGCCCAGTCTGCCATATAAGGCAGCCACTGCTGAGTAAACGCTCTGGAATAAACCTCAATGAGAGAATAAATCACCTTTCATGCCATGCTCCCTCCAGGTGAGGGCTGAGGTCATTGCAAAAGGCATAACAAATAGTTGACATAATGTACCAAACTAATAGATTCTATAAGGAAAACTAAATGGAAAAATTTTCTTGAGCACTAGGCACCGCTGGCTGAAGAGACAGTGAAGCTAGTGTTATTATAGATGTAGTTGAATCAATAATACTTTTTCATTCGTTTCTTTTTCATTTCACAAAAATGCCTATTTTAACCAGAAAAAGAGAGGAGATATTATCGAGGGCAATTTTTCATGCTCACATGGATTAAATTCTAGGACACATAGCTCTTCTAAATAGTCTCATTTCTGTTATTTTTTCCTCTCCTCAGAAACATATTCAATTCTGTTCCAGCAGTGAGAATTCATCTGGAAAGCTATGACAATCAATTAAGTAAATGAGAAAATAGAATGCTTGTAATTATGATAATCAAGCTATATGAAACCCACCCTCTTAGGGCTAATACCCACACATCTTTAAGCAATATATTAATTAAGCTTTGGATAATTGTAACAATTAGGATTAAGCTTGTATAATTTTTAAAAATCACTCTGAGAGAAAAACAGGAAATATTTTTAAAAGATATGCAGCTGTTGGTTTTTAATACAATTCATTTTCATGACTACACCGTTGTTTCCTTGGCTGTGTGGAGAGCATTCCAGTCTGTTTTATTGATGGGACTTCTCATCTACAACTGAAGAAAAGTTTTTCAGTGTTTCCCTCTTTTAAGATACAAGTTGGCAAACGTTTCCTTCAAAGGACTACATAGCAAATATTTCAATCTTTGCAGCCTAAAAGGAAAAGTTATGGAAAAGTACTTATATGATAGGGAACAAATTCTCAGCTTCTTTATTGATGGAATTCATTGAGTACATTGTTGTTTTGGACATACACATTACCTGAGGGGCAGAATGGATTTCTTACTGGAAGGACCACATTTTGCTCAGTGCAATGTTAGTGACCCTTCCCCCAGTCATCATCAATGTTCATTGTGGAATTCTTAGCTGTGGGCTGCTATTTGCTATTTGCCTCTCTGACCATTGCACCATCTTCAGTGCACATCAGAATCAGCTAAAGGATTTGTTGAAATAGATTGCTGAGTCAGACTCCCAGATTTCTGGTGAGGCCCACAAGTTTGCATTTCCAACAAGTACCCACATGTCGCTGATATTTTTGTCTGGGGATGTACTTTTAGCTGTTTTTCTTTGTGAAATACCACATTGAATACATGTCTTTCTATTTTATGTTTTCATCATACTTATATATTTCAGCTCTTTGTGCTCTGAGATACAAGGGGGAGGAAATCTGAAGTCAAATTTCCATTTTAAAAATGAAGAATTATTTAGCTAGACTAGGATTGATACTAAAAGGAACATTATCACTTAAATGTCTATTAGTCTTGTGCTTATTTGCCAGAGATAGCAAACAACATTTATTTCTGCTCTAAAGAATTCCTGAATACCATTTATTAATCCAACTACTTTCAGCTTTTTATTTTTTTTAAATTTATTTTTTTTTATGCATACAAAAACTGGGGTACAGGCCAGAGGTGCAGGGGAAGTAACAGGATTCACCAGAGGCAAAATAGGGAGCAGAATGGGCAGACTGACTGAGATACACTGCTGAGGGGAGCAGTGGGCAAGTCAGAAGAGGTCTGCTACACCATGTGGGTCACCTCCCTGGCCCTGGCCTGGGATTGAACCCGTGCTTCACTGGCTGCAGATTGTTTCATAGTGCTGCACTTTAACTCCTCATGCCACCAGGGAGGGCCTCCAATTACTTTTAAAATAACAATATTCCAAAAGACACAAGAACATAAACATAACAATGACAATTTTGCCTAAATTAAACATGTTGTAATTTACTAGGTTATCAATATGATGTCTCCTGGATTGGAATTTATTCTGTGTTCAACCCTTAGAACTTCTTGAGGTTGCCAAGGGACTAGAGAGATGTCTGTATCCTAAATCCTGAAGTAATCCATGGTTTATTAGACCAAATCATCTTTAAGTAACTGAAAAGTTGCACTGGGCTATTACATACAAGTTATGAATGACTTAAACTATTACCTATGCTGAGAATTTAGAGAAGGTTAATTAAAACAACAGGTCATCAGTTAATTTTTAGGATTACATCATATCAAAGAGATTCTTTCAGAAAAGAAACAAAATGGAAAACATATTCTCTCTCTGTTTATTTGTCCCAATGTTTAAAAAAAAAATCAGCTTTATGAAACCATAATCTTCCTCATGACAAATGGGCTTGTACATTAGCATCGTGCTTTCAATCAACAGTTAAAGATTCCAGAGGAAGGTAAAAAAATTGAATGTAAAGACATCTCAGCATCTATTTGTCAATTTTCAATTTTATAACATCGATACAAAAAAATAGTATTCTGATTAGCAGCTTGTTTGGCAACCCATGTAACCCTAAACAGTACTACAAACCTGGAGAGTGCACTTTACAGACAATTACGTTTGGCGAAATAGTATGTACAATTTTGACAAATAAATACATAAATACAATCATTCATATATAACAATATACCTAAATGTCAATTATCATCAAGCGTTTCTAGTAAATTACTTTTTTCATTCACAAGTTACTGTTGCTTATAAAAACTATCTTTACCTTTACAGAAGAAATGACAGTCAATTCCCCCATGAAACCCACATATTAGGAAAGGTAGAAAATGAATCCCAGATGCTTTAATGCAAATATTCCATTGTCTTTTGATAGAAGAGATTTCATTGAAAAATTCCTTCCTTGACTTCCCTGTAAAGAGTATGTTTTCCCCATATCATACCACCTAAAGGGGTTTTGTTGTTTTTGAATTTAATCCAAATCGAAATGATTTTCATGTTTGATTTTGGTTACTGAAAAATACGGCACTATATACTGACACTGGCATTTGCTCTAATGTAAGAAGACACAAAGCCACGAACACTCGACACCAAAAAAAAAAAAAAAAAAAAAAACACTTATTATCCAAAAATAAATTTAAAAAAAGAGAAAATATAAGAATACAGAGATTGATTACTGCTCCCTTTTGTTTTCCGTACACAATAAACAAAACAGGTGAGGGAACAGTCAGAGGTTTTATAAAAATTGCCTGAATGACTCCTGGTACAATACTGTCTGAAATATTTGATGTCAAAGAAATAAGAACTTTGAAAAATGCCTTAAAATACTTGAAAGTATACTTTGATCAATGACATAACATTAACAAAATATAAATTATAGTTTTTCTGGCTCACTCGACTTAAATATTTTTTGAACATTCAAAAAACAAAGGGCAAACATGCTTTAGGCTGTTGAAACACCAGACCAATGGTTTTGCCTCACCAAGTTTCATGCAGAAGAAAATGTTACACAGCAAGCAGATTCTAGCTATCAGTACAGTTTGGGAGAAGAAAAAAAGGTCTTTAAAATATATACATATGGTCTCTGATGAATATTTATACGTTGGTCACATGGGCACTACCTAGCATAAGAGTTAGGAAATAGTTCTTTAAGACATACGATGTTCTGGTTTTTGCTCCGTTTAACGATTAGGGCTCTATTAATTATGTACACACACACACACACACACACACAGACATACACACATACCGAACAAGTCATAGATGTGCATATATGATGCTTACAATGTGCAATTCCTTCACACCAAAGGTGGCTTGACTGAGCATCAGGTAGTGGCAATTTGATAGCTGAGATACACACTTGGTTCGCTACATGGCTGAAAGACGAACCAAGTACAAAACCATAGGAATTTTCAAGTGATAGGAATTCACAGCAGTTGAGGAGGAGGAGTAGGGGTGGCTCACCTTTTGTGTATCTCTCTCCCCAGGCGATCTAATACTGTCTCTTAATCAAACTCAACATTCTTGCCAACTAAGATGAAAATGTATTAAAGGCTGAGAAGGGCTGTGCCATATTGGGTTCTTTTGTGCCAGGGATGACAGGGCCAATGATTTCAAGAGATTGTTCATTTTTTCTACCTGTTTGCTATCAACTTAGGGGGGCTTTGAAGGGTCAGGTTAAAAAAAAAAGCTGTACTTTTTCAGTTGTGAAGTTTTCTTTGAATGAAACAAGTTTTCTGATGACTGGTAGATGGTCAATATGTAGCTTTGCTGGGTGGCTATGTTTCTTATGATAAAGGTGGTTCAGCATGAATTGTCCTAAAGGTTCTCACTGAGAATTCAGATGAAATGTTTCCTGAGATCTAAATTGATGTGATACATTTTGCAAAGCAAGTGCTTTAATTCCCGAACTTTCCCCCACTATACCCTCAGTCAGAGGCTCCTTCCCAAAGAAAGGTAGCTGTCTTCTCTTTCAGCACCCTGGAATATCAAGGCAATGCACTGAAGTAACAATGTATTTTCATAGAAGCCAGGAGAAATGACAGAGAAACTGAAGCTTCCCCAAATACCTAACTTTTATCCAAGGAAAAGTGAATGTCTTAGAAGGATTGATGCACTACTAGTTCATATTTAGTATTCTCGGGGTAGATTTTTATATTAAGATAACGTTACTACCACTGATGCCCATCACTGTAATTATTTTAGCATGTAGCATAATGCACAATACACTGCATTAAGTAGCACCTTTTTAACTAAGGGTGTCAGAATAGTTATCAAATGCAATTCAGTCTCACAGCACCTGTGAGGTAGGTGTTATTTCCAGCCATTTTATAAGTGAGCATATTGAAGCAAAGTAGGTAGAAGATTCCTGCTCACACACCCAGTAAGTACGATAAGATCAATGAGACCTGAACCCAAGCTACCCAATCCTTCCTTCTTGTGAAACTTAATCACCACCAAGTCTCCAGAACACCTCCTAACAGCATTGCTGCTAGAGGCATTTAGATGCTCGGGATGTTAGAGAGCATTATAGCTATAAATTTTAGGGCAAAATCATTTGATAATATCAGTACCCAAGATTTGCTTACATGCTTTGCAAATGTGAATGTGTGGGAGGGGCATCTTTATACTATTGCTAAACTTATGCTACTTATAGTGTACACAGAAATTCATATTTTTTCCATGTGATTTATTGTTGTTCTGGCTTCCTACCAACTTGTTTCTACACATGTACCTATCTGAGCCAGAAACTGTAAAATGCACTTAGCGACACTGTGTGGGGGGATGCAGATGAGATTATGTTTGGCAAAGTCTCCTTGGAGGCATCAAGTAATGTTTGTTCTGAAAGAGCAAAAAACCAAATTCCTTGTTTACCTCACTAAGCAGCATTTTACATACATTCCACCTACTGACTAGGTTTATTCCTTGGATAAGCAAACAGTGCTATCTTCTAAACATAGAATATCTGAGTCTCAAGTTTAAATTTCCAATTTTTTAACTGCAGTCTCCTGCCAGTACTAAGTTCATCTCTTGGAGGAACCAAAGATACTGTACACATTATATGGCAATATATGTAAAAATTCAAATGTAATGGCACACATAATGTTAATAATCACATCCAGCAAGTCTTCCTGACTGCATTTCTAAATTGTTTTTGAAAAGTTATTATTCATTTTTGCAGGGATGACATGAAGACATTACTGTTTCAATTTCCCAGAACCAGATTTTTTATCTCAGATACACAGTATGAGAATCCTAGCAGTTGTTAGGAAGTTGCTTTTGAGATCAATGGCAATGCCTTAGGACCTGAGGATGAAACATGGTCCTTCTAACTCATGTATTGTTTCTACAACCAGAGTCTAACATTTGCAAATCCAAGAAAGGAACTAAAAGCGGTAAGGAAAAAAACTTTTTACAAAACCCTTCACCAGTTCATCTCCCCTGGTGACTCCTATAAAATATCAACACCCCAGGCCCCATTTCTTTAAAAAAGCAAAGAAATGTATTTACACTAGTAAAAATCTTAGCATTTGAGATGTTTCTTGCTTGACATGTCATTCCAAATTCTGTGCATTTCTTCTGGAGAGATCTGATGCACGGTGATAACTCGGCGAAACCTACACAAACTGTAGGCCATTTTCCAGTGATTGAAGCCACTGTTCTGGAAAGGATGTATGCCCAGCTTTCGAAGACACAGTCCCACATACACATCTTCAAGGTGAAGAAGCCTTGTATGGAGTGAGGTCTTGTAAATGAGCTCGGCCACATCGCCTGAGAAGATATAGCCAGTCCCTGAACAGAAGGGTGGGTAGTTACTATCAGGGTACAGGTCTCTGGGCATATACCACTTACTGCGCACATCCCGGATGGGCCCTCCATTGATGACGTAGCCAGTGAAATATCTTCTTCTTGGCTTGGTGGAGGGTTTTAGTAGTTTATAAATAAGGTTGTCCATGTTTACAAAAATGTCAGTGTCTGTTTTCATGACATACTTGGCTTTTGAACAAAAAGTGGCCACCCATCTCATCCCCATTAAAGTTTTGAGGGTAAGGTTATGGTAGGAGTCGATAAAGTCTTCCACGATAATATCATGGAAGATTTGACTCTCTTGCTCCACCATATGGTTCAGAACAGGATCAGAGTTCTTGCCCAAGAGGAAAAGTGTTGCGATCTTTATCCCTTTAAAGTTGTTCTCATCTCCCCAAGTCTCTCGAATTGCCTGGCGGGCATCAAATTCTTTGTGGGTAGTGCTGATGAGAATAACAAGGAAAGGAATATTTTTCTCACATTTCTTGGGTTCGTTAATAAGAAATTCAAAAGAATGTGGGTTTATAGGCCGAGTTCTTATGTTGCCAAAGGTGAAGTTTTTCCTAGCAACTATGAGGTGGCTGAAGGGCTTGGAGCCAGTGTAGGAGGAAGTGGGGCGAGTTATACTCAAGTACCAGAGAGCACTGGCCCAGCACACGACTGTCAAAACATATAAACATGAGACCTTTGAAGCCATTGTCTTGCGAGCACGTCTACTCCAAATACTGAAGAATAGGCCTTGCTGGCATTAGCTTTTGCTCATCTTGCAGAGGCTGCATATTACAAATAAATCTAAAAGGTCAATACAGGAGTATGAGTGTGGGATTGTCCGTGGGTCTCAGTGGCACTCTGCTGCCTCTGCATTCACTCTTCTTCCTTCCAAACCTGATGGAAGGCTCCAGGCCTCACAAATCTTCCTCTTAATTCTGCAAAATCAATAAAGTACAGTTGTCGTTCAGAATTATTTAGTCATTTCATATCTTCAAACAACAAAAGAAGGGTATAAGAATTACCCACAATGACTAAAATAAACACAAGCATCTGTTTCCATCAGTACTGAAAACATCCTCACATAACTGTCTTCCCATTTCTTCCCTTGATAGAAATTGTTTATATATATATATATATATATACCCATTAGCAAGTATATAGACTATAAACTCTAGAAGAATATGAAGTAAATTCAACATTAGTAATTCAAAAAGTTTCCCTCTTTTCACAGAGGGCCTTCTTTGCAGTTAATATTTTCTGACCCTAAAGTCCTCATTCAAGCAGGAGAGTCTCACAAGTGACCTCATCACTCTTTTCCATTATTTCCAAGTCTGGGTTTTTGTTTTCTTGACTCTGATGAAGGGATCAGTTCTCAGCATCTCTTGGCTTTTTCTAGCCCTATATTTGACAATCTGTCAGTCACCACAGGGAAATCTCTATTAAACTTGTCTCTCTTGGAGATGACTTACAAGTAATTCCCAATTTTTCTCATTTTCCCCTTCCTGTAGTTCTCACAAATGCTAGCTCCTAATTCTCAGTCTTCTGTGAGGCTTCATCTGGAGGATATCTTTCTCCGTCATGTCTGGAAGCCATCACCCAAGTGTCCTTTCAGACGCTGGCAGCATTCATGTTTGAGTTGATTGACATGGTATTACTTTTGTGACTTTTCACAACTCGCCTTTATGCTCTTTTGATGAAATTATGCTGGCACTTTTTAATTCCCTTTACTTAGTTACACTTGCCTATAAGCATAGCAGGGATATGATAAGAAAGATGATTGAGATTGGGGGCCACAGATTCAATGAAGGCAACAGGGCACATTAATTGGTGTTCATGTAAGAAAATTTGTTCTTCAGAACTCTAAGCCCTTATAGAACATCAGTTGTTATCATGTCAGCTAAAAATATATGTCAGGTTACAAAGTTCATCTATGGAAAAAATGGTTTCCTTCCCAGTGAGACCAAACAGTGGTGGTGGGGGAGAGGAGAAAGAGGAGAGAGAGAGAGAGAAGAGAGAGAAGAGAGAGAAGAGAGAGAGAGAGAGAGAGAGAGAAGATAATGGGTATCAATTTCAACAAAGTCTGCTTCAATCAAAACTATACACTTGAATGTACAGACTGTGTTGAAGGAATTTAACTGGTTTTTTGACTGAAAATGATGTTTCTAAGCACAACAGTCATGATGAAATGAAAAGACAGGATAGGCAACAGCAGAGATAATACACAGCCATTTGTCTAAGCCAAGAGCTGACTGTGAATATAAGGCCCATATGAGACTAGCAATAACTCACTGTGGTTACGGTTCCAACTAAATGAATATTAGAATGGCTTCAAGCAGCATGACTCAGGCATCCAACCCATAATAAGTACTCTCTAAATATAGACTCTGGTATTTGGTCTCCTGGAGGAAATTTCTGCTGTAAGGTGCAACAAGCTGATAAAAAGAGGGATTTGATGTGCAGTAAGCTTTGACACCTTAAACAGTAAGCAAACATAAATGAGAGAAGTCAGGAACGGACTTTTGAAAAGGGGTTCTCAACTGGGAATATGCGGTCATCAACTCCATTGGCACCCCAAAGCAATGTGAGTCTTAAAATGGTACTAGAAAACACACTGTGTCCAATATTGTCCAAGGCTTGTATCAATTTTATAAACCTAACTTTATCATCCTATGCCCTTTCTCACCCTTTACGCAAACTTTCGTGTCGACTGTCACTAACCCAGTAAGGGACTCCCAGAGAGACACACCTGGAAGAGACTCCTGTCAAATTCTCCACTGGAACCACTAATCAGGCTATTAGTGGAAGATTAATGGTGTGCACAAAGTATTGGAAAAACACAGTCGAACCCATACTCCTCCACAAGGAACTTAAGAGTCTGGGAGCAAGAAAGACTTCAAATAAATTACTAAAACAATGTGATAAGCACTAGCATCAGAAAGCACTTGGGGTACACAGGAGAGGGGGTAGACAGAGTATGGGAGAACCAGGTTCAGTCCTGGTGACTGTGCCTGGTATGACTCCAGGGACTAAAATGTAAATCCCATTTCCCAGTCCTGCCCTGCCAACAAACCACAAGGCTGCTTTGGGGAGCAGTCAGAGACATTTCAAGAAGTTTATCTGAAATGAATATTTAAGAACAAGCAGAAATTATCTGGGTGAAAACTGGACAGAGGGAGGAGCATGTGCAAAAAAGCTAAGAAAGCACAGCATGTGTCAGATTACAAATATTGTAGTAAATGAAGAGCACTGCGTGATGGGGGAGGGGTGAGTAGGGGTGGAGATTTGGGGATCTCCAAGGGAAGAAACAGTCAGCAACAAGAGGCACTCAAAAACCACTTCAGCTGAGTAGCTGGTGACCCATCTTTGCAATCTAAAGGGCATAGGGAGGAATATGCCATTCACAAGTCCTGTCCACTGATTTCAACAGCAAGTCACATTCCCATATTAAGGATTTCTTTCCCCCATAGTCCTATGCCTAAGAAGAATGACAATTTGCTTCATTTAATAAATGTCTGTGTGGCTTTTCTGGAGGAAGGGATCTAAAAACACTGATATCTGGGAGATTTATAAAGAAGTAAAAGAGGGTGAAATAGAAGATAAGTAGCTGAGAACATGAATAATGTTTACATATTCATAAACACTTTTCATAGAATAAGCAGCTTTTTTTCCCCAGGCAGCTAGCAAATGCAATCCTTCTTACTACTGTTATCCTAGGGTCTCAGAAATATGTAGTATTATCAGGTACTAAACCTTGCACTACATTCTGTGCTATGTGTTTTATATGGCCTGATTCCTTACAGTGTTCCAAAAGATGTAGTTTCGCCATTCTACATATGTGAAATGGGAAGTAGAGATACGAAGTAGCCAACTCAAGCTGACACAATGGGTGAGTGACAGGCGTCCCAGCTGCCTCAGGCTTGTTAGGACAAAGGGTAACATCTGGGAGTCCACTGCTTGAATATTTTTCTAGTTCATTCTGATTTGCTACGGATCATACTACACACATTTTGTGGAAATTCTTGATTCAAAAAATGAATATTTGCAAAGAACATATTAAAGTTTGAAGATTTTGGGGGGGGGGAAAACCGGGAACGGTGAAGAAGGCCAAAAAAAACTTGCAATTATTTTTCTCGGAAGCTCTGACACGCACACAGTAAAAATCACCATTTCTATTTTCTTCTTTGTTAGACATGAGAACAAAAATAGTCACAATATTCCATCATGGTCACTAGTAAATGTGCATTACCAATAAAAATAGAGGATTTGAACTGTATAAAAGAACCACTTAGATTCTCAAGCGCCTGAGATAATATGGGTCTACAGCAAGGGCTGCTACAAATGTCCTTTCTGCTTACAACAGAACAGATTCTGAAGGTGGTCAGTTAGGTAAAAATATATAAGTCTAGGCCAGAAATAGTATTAAAAGAGAATAGCATGGTATGTTTAACTCTAAAGAGTAATTTCATTTATGCTGAATAAAGTAGCTGGCAATGGGTCAAATGTCCATGTTTTATTCCTGTAGTAATTCTACCTGGCTATTCTGTGCCTCAGAGGCCTTATGTAAAAATTAACATCTGCTTTTTTCCCAAATACATCATAGACATTATTTTGAATTTCTGAGGAACAGTGCCAATGACATCACAATGATACTAAGAGAGTAGGGAGTATGTTAGTTCATGAATTAGAATCCAAAGCATATATGTTGATTGATTCTCCTAACTACATAGAATTGTTGTTAGGTTGGTTTTTATTTTGTTTTTGTTTTTTAGCTTTGTGATTGCACTATACAGATATTTCTGCTAGAGAATTATGTTTTCATCCTGAAAAATTCAAAACCAAAGTCCACTGAAATGTAAAGGAACTATATTAGCTGAAAAGTTCTGTGGAAGACTGAGTGTCACAAAGCAGAAGCTTCTGGAGGAGCCTTTCAGTTTTACAAGATTAAATTAAGAAGTCCTGTTAACAGACACACTAATGTATAAATTAAATAGAATGCTGCACACTTATCATTTGTCATTCCTTTTAGCAGTCTTACCACAACCACAGGCACTGATGACACATTAACTTGTCATCTGTTAAACACAAATTCCTCTAGAGAGAAAAATCTAACTAGAACATCTGAAAGATATTCTTATCTTTCTTATTGTATCACAGATTCCCTCATTTACAGAACTCTCCAATAACAACCTACCTTCACCTTTCAGGAAGTTAATGGGACAGAATTTTCCATTCTGTTTTTCCTAGAAATTGCATGATGGATTGTCTAATATTTTAAGTAATTTATGTTTTAAAAAGGTCCCCAATTGCTGAAGTTCTGCTTTCTATCCAGAAGTAAGATATAGGAACATGTGGGAAGTGGGTCTTGATTGAACTGTCATAGCCTGGGATGCCAAGCTCACATTCTTCTCCATCATAGTTCAGGAAGGTGGAGCCAAACTGACCTCATACTTCAGTTGATGTGGAATCATTCCAATCTGCAGAGACCCTAACAAGTGACCTGCTGTCACTCCCTGGTGACACAATTAATACAGCATCTCCAAATTCTAATCTCCCTTCAATTGTCAAACATATTTCTCTTGTTCATCAAAGATACACTCAACACCTATTTCATGCCAAGCACTGTTTTACAAGCTGGTGAGCCAGATGGGCAGCTTATTTTCTAGGAGAGGGAGGCAAAAATTGAACATATGAGAAATGGTTGCAAAATCAATTTCAGGTAGTGATAAGAAAGTGATTTAATGGGAAAGAGACTGAACTGTGGTAGGAGGGATTTAATGGGACTACTTTAAGTAAAGGGGTCACTCTCTGAGCAGGTGACATTTGAACTGAGGACAGAATGCTTTGCCATCTGTGGGTCAGTCTTTGAGTCCACTAAACTTTTTGTTTTTTTCTTGGCTCTTTGGGCCTAATGTTTCACTAAGAATATGTTTTTTGT